TTGTTGAGATATTCAGGTTACGGTAGTGGGCCACGGTTGAGGTGGGCGACTCGGTGGTTTGGGCGACTCGCTGGTGGATTACGTTAGTTAAGTTAGTTAGTTAACTTAATTTTAAAAGTTTCAAATAATCTAGTACATGCGGCCACATCAACCTGAACAAAACGAGGACGACAGAGCTAGACCTTCTATTTCGCGAGGGCAAGACCGTATGAAAACTGCTCTTGCCCCTCCAAAATTGGCTACTTCTGCTCTCAGGCGATAGGCACTAGAACGGGTGGGTATGCATTGCAGGGGTGAACAGATAGACGGTACCTGTATAAACATTAGGCTCCCAGCACCCAGGACAGGCTCTTACTGCCCTTAAACTCTGGGAGGGAGGTCCCACCTACTTTCTTATGGCCTGCACATTATCAAAGGCCTCGCTTTTTTTCCATCAGCGACATGAGAGAAGATTCGAAGAGCACCATTAGGAAGGCTGTGATAGTGTTGATTGTTCCGGCGTGTGAATCAATCACGGAAGCAATAGGTTACCTGACGGAGGCAGTGAGATGGTTAGTTACTTGTAACTTATTCGGTCAGAAGTAGGTTTACCTCGGAGAGTAGATATCCATATACATACCCAGGCACCCAGGCCTATGTATACTACATGTGCGATCACTAACTACAGTCAACCTTCGCTATAACGGTTGAATCCGTACAGGCGAATCCAATCGTTATAACGCGGATATCGCTAAAAAGAATTTTCTTGGCAGCATTGATTGAGAATCCGTGCAGGGAATCTTATCGCTATAATGCGAATATCGCTGTAGTGGTAATCGCTATAGTGGTGGTTGACTGTAGTTAAGCAATAGCCTCTGACACTCTCAATAGGATCCAGGCATCTAGAAGGGATGCCTTAGGCACAACTCTGACTCACCACAGCAGGGCGCATACCGGGGTTTATGTAATCGTCTATTGACTGTTAGTATCCCGTTACGGCTGCAAACGGTAAAAATTAGCACTTGGCTACTTA